GTCCGCCTGATCAAACCCTGAGCCAAACTCAACCAAATCACTAAAAACCCTAATAATCTGCTTGGACTGATTCAAAAGTTAATGGAAACCCTAATTTTATTTGACTGATAAGAAAAGTCTGTTTGATCGATTCTTGAGCCAATTTGAAAAATCAGGAAAAGCCCGAAACTGTGATTTCTTGTGAAAAAGGGAGGGCAAATTTTGGGGTACAACAAACCCTTTTGGTCTCATCTCAATTGAGTCTTCCATGTTCATGTATGAAGCTTTAACAAAAAAGGTGTGTTTGTTGACTTTCCAAAATGACCTATAATGTCCAAATTTATATCTTCTTGTGAGTGCATATTTTGAACTTGGGAGCTGAAGATGAATTGTAGGGAATCACATACTGTTCAAAATGAGCTTTGGATGGGTCATTTCTGATAAAGTATGAGAAAGTTATGTTTGGTCAAAGTTGAGTTAACTTTTCCTGTAAAACCCTAATTTAGCAACTTTTGGGTTTTGATGAATTGTCAAAAATCCTTGAGGAATCATGATCAACCCTTGATCAAATGATGAATAATACTTCAAAATGATGATTTTGACCAAAAATCTTGAAGTTTGACTGTATGTAGGACACAGTTGACTTTTGCGCTAGCACAGTCGATTTTCAGCCCTTTGAGCAAATGACTGAGCAAACTTCATCTGCAAGGCTTGAAACTTGACATGGATGATCTTGTGAACATATTAGGACAATGATGAGCATTTGGGATCCTTTGGGATCACACATCTTGATGCAAATTGAAACCCTAATTTGGGGTTGACTTCCTTAGGAGAAGGTTTGTCTGGTCAACCTTTGGACTTCCTTGAGTAATTTGAGGACCTCACTTGAAATGTATTGAGAAATATGGGAGGGCAAATTTTGGGGTACAACAATATGCCCACTAGAATGGGTGCCAAAAGTGCCTTCATGTAGATCATCCATGATCCTCTCTGCCTCAACCTTGTCTACGCAACGAAGTAATACAGAGTCGTGGTTGTGTTTGTAAAGAATGCCATTACTAAGGAAGAAATTAATAGAGAATCTCCTTAAGAACATCTTATCATTGACTGAAGCTCCTTCCGGGTATTCTTGAGCCTCGAGATACCTCTTGACTTCATGGAACCAAGGTCGGTCCACTACTTCTTCAATATTGATCTCGTGACAGTGAGCTGGTTCATCCATTCGTTCAATGGTGATCTAGGGAGCCTCGTTATCCCATTTAAGTTTAAACATGGATGACATTGTGGCTAGTGCGTCTGCTAGATGATTTTCTTCTCGTGGGAAATGCTCGAAGGTAATCTTTTCAAAGTGTGGGATTAATGTCAACACATGTTCTTTGTAGGGGATGAGGTTAGGGTGTTTAGTGTCTCATTCTCCTTTAATCTGACTGATGACCAAGGCTGAATCTCCGAATATACTTAAGGACTTGATCCCCAAATCTATGGCAGCTTTGAGACCAAAAATGCACGCTTCGTATTCTTCCATGTTATTTGTACAGTTGAAACATAGTCTTGCGGTAAAGGGAGTATGACATCCATCCAGAGATATGAGTACAACACCGATGCCATTGCCGAGTGCATTAGACACCCCATCAAAAACCAGGGTCCATCGGGATCCTTGTTCAGGTCTGTCATATGGTCTGAATTCTTCACAATTGTCTACCATCATGATGTCTTCATCCGGGAATTCAAACTTCATGTACTGGTAGTCATCCACATCTTGATGAGCAAGGTGATCGGCTAGTACACTGCCCTTTATTACTTTTTGGGTCGTATACTGAATGTCATATTCCGTAATGATCATCTGTCATCTTTCTATTCTCCTAGAGAGGGCAGGTTTCTCGAATATGTATTTTATTGGATCCATCTTGGATATCAATAAGGTAGTATGGGTCAGCATATATTGTCTTAGCCGGTGAGCAGCCCATGCCTGAGCGCAGCAAGTTTTCTCGAGCAGTGAATATCTTGTTTCATAGTCAGTAAACTTTTTGCTCAGGTAATAAATAGCATGCTCTTTTCGGCCAAACTCGTCATGCTGCCCCAACACACCCCCATTGAATTTTCCAAAACAGTTAGATAGATGATCAAGGGTCTTCCCTCGACTAGTGGCATCAAAATAGAAGGCTCTTGTAGGTACTCTTTGATCTTGTCGAAGGAAGTTTGGCATTCATCATTCCATTTGACTACTTGATCTTTCTTCAGTAATTTGAAGATTGGTTCACAAGTAGCGGTCAAGTGAGAAATGAATTTGGCAATATAGTGTAGCCGTCCTAAGAATCCTATGACTTCCTTCTCAGTACGAGGAGCAGGCATTTCTTGTATAGCTTTCACTTTGGCAGGATCCACTTTGATACCTTTATCGCTGATGACAGAGTCTAGGAGTTTACCGGACCTCACCCCAAATGTGCATTTATTCGGGTTCAACCTCAACTTGTATTTCTTTAGTCTCTCAAAGAATTTATGTAAATGGTTAAGATGTTCCTCTTCCGTTTGAGATCTGGCTATCATGTCGTCCACATAGACATCTATTTCGTGATGTATCATGTCGTGAAATAGAGCTACCATGGCATGCTGATAGGTTGCCCCAACGTTCTTTAACCCGAATGGCATCACCTTGTAACAGAATGTGCCCCATTGTGTGACAAAGGTTGTTATCTCCATGTACTCAGGCGCCATTTTGATTTGATTGTAAGCTGAGAAACCATCCATGAAGGAAAACACCTTATGCTGTGTTGTATTGTCAACCAAAATATCGATGTGGGGAAGTGGGAAATCATCCTTAGAGATTTCCCTATTCAAATCTCTATAGTCCATGCACATTCGCACTTTGCCGTCCTTTTTAGGCACGGGAATAACATTGGCGACCCACCGCGGATAGGAGGTGACGGCCAAGAATTCGGTGTTGAATTGTTTCATGACTTCCGCTTTGATCTTCTCTAACATGTCTGGTCGCATGCGACGGACCTTTTATTTTACTAGAGGGGAATCTTCTTTTGTTGGCAGACGATGTACCACAATATCATCATCAAGTCCTGGCATATCTTCATACGACTAGGCAAAGACTTCAACATAATCATGTAGCAACTGAATTAGACGCTTCTTGACACTGGGTTCCAGATTGGCACCCACCTTGACTTCTTTCTTGTCCTCCTTGGTACCTAGGTTAACTGTGTCCACTGGTTCTTCGTGGGGTTGTATGGTCCTCTCTTCTTGTTGTAGTAACCTGGCTAATTCCCCTGGGACTTCACAATCTTCCTCACCTTCGTCTTCGGCTTGGTAGATTAGATTCTCAGAGTCACAGAAAGCCATCGCAGAATCGTTACCCATGGGATCACGAATGGATGTAGATCTGCATTTTGAATGTGAGTGTGTGTAAGAGTATAGCTATCTTTGAAAGAAATAAAAATGTAAAAAGAAAGACAAAGATTACAAGGTTTGTATGCAAAAACATCCATGATTCATTGATGACATATGAAAATGAGGTAACAACCCTTACAAATGGACCGTTGTGCCTCGGGTAAGACACGCAGTTTAAAAAGTCTGAATTGTTTAATTATTATAGGTTCAACAAAATTTAAAGACAATTACTGTGGGATAAAAGTAATTGGGACAAAATCTTTAGCTTCCCAGTTGCTGAGTCCTCCATTGATAGTTGGGAAAATACAATCCTCCAGGTCATAGTTGTCCTCATCATCCTCCACTATGTTAATTCCGTGGTTGCTGATCCTCAAGGGTGGTCCCCCGACACGAGCACGGCGTACAACTTTCTGGGTTGCTGAAGTGAAACCCAAACCAAATTTGTCAAATTTGTATGGGATATTCGGGAGCTGACCCTAAATAGTACACCCACCTTCTTCGATCACTTCCTTGGCATCCTTCAGAGAAGACATCTTTAGCGGAGGTCTTGTAATCTTCGGGACTTGGGAAAGAGTCTTGGTTACTTCCACGGTTTGTGGGACTTCCTCGAAGTGCTGAAATGAAGTTTCATTGAATTCACCATCCAATTCCACGTACCTGAAGGAGTTTGAGTTACTGACCATATATTCCTCTTCTCCATGGACAATAATGATTTTCTTCTTGGTCGGGTATTTTAGCATTTGATGTAATGTAGAGGTAATGGCTCCAGCGTTGTGAACCCATGGCTAGCCCAATAAGAAGGAATAGGAAGGACGAATGTCCATCACGTAAAAAGTTGAATCAAAGGTTTGGGTTCCAACTTTTATGGGGATGTCCACCTCCTCATGCACCATTATCTTTGAACCGTCGAAGGCCCTTACCACTATATCACACGATAAACCTGCATAAAAATCAAATCTCAACAAGCAAAAGTGAATTACAAATCTCAAGTAATCAGATAATCCCGATTTAATTCCCAAAATCTAACCAATTTTTATATTTGATTTTATTATTTTTATCATGCAAAGAAAAATTCAAACAAGTATAAACAATTAAAAATTTGATTTAAAAGGAATTACAAAAATAATAAACAACAAAAAAAAACAAGCCTAGGGGGTGCAAACTGAATCCAAAAGTGGCATGCTAAAATAGCCTGGGCGCTGCAGGCCCGTTGAAGAGAAGCCCAGAAGTTCCTTTTTTTGCAGCAAAAAAGGGCACAAGAGGGAGGTGCAGAAATGATCTGGGGAGTGCTGAAGAAGTCATGTGTTGAAGGCCCATCAGGTTGAGTCCATTAGCCAGTTTTTGTTCTCAAGAAAATGTGTTGCCCAAAAACAGGATACAGGCCCAGTAGAGAGGGTGTACATAGAATTCGTGGACTTAGGTCCCATTAGCCCAAACCAATCTCAACATCAAGCAAATAATAAAAAAATAAATTGTGAAACGCACGCGTTTTGTAAGTCTGTTAGGGTTCAAACTTGTCTCTTTAGGTTCTTATCAAAGAGAAATTTTCTTCTTCCCTTCTAAATAGCAGCGGCGATGCATTATCTCTTCACCGATCTACCCTAAGCTCAACGCCATTGCTACCGATGTTTCAACCTTCGATTTCGACGATGTTCTTCCTTTATAGAGCTTTGATGTTTACGAATCAACCTTCTTCGAGTTTCATCATCATCTCAATAGCGATGTTGATGTCTCCGTCTTACCCAATCAATACAAAACCGTCGTGGATTCGTCGTGTTCAATGCAGCTTCGTCTTTTTCTCAGTATCACCGCATCTCCATGAGATTTCATCCGTTCTCACTTCTGATTCTACTTCTTCGCTTGATTTTGTTTCAAACTCGCTGTTAACTGCTTTCCATTCTCGAAAACAAACTCATGTGGTAATCAGAAACAAATGAAGAGGAAGAAAGAAAAAGCGTTTACCTATCGGAGAGTGTCTGGTGCATCTGTAAGCGTAAAATAAGGTATGTGTTGTCCCCTTCTTTTTCTTCTCCGTATTATGCTATATCTTCTATATTTATGTGCTTTTCTTGTTTCTGTGCTTTCTATTATTGATTTTGAAGTTGCGTGCGTGCGAGGTTGAAGACTGCAGAATCAATAATGATATGAGAGGAAGTGGATTATTGCGTTGAAGACTGAGGTTCTATGATGAAGTAGTTGGTGCAACGTTGTTGATAATGATGTTGTATGAGCTATGAAAATGATGAAGCAGAAAGCAGAGAGAGCTTGAAGGTTTGCAGAGAATATTCAGAGAAGCCAACAATTGATGATGAAGATGCAGAAGAGAGGAGCAGAGAGAGTATTTTTCTATGACTTTGTGATTTTTCTGCAGAAGTCAAGAATCTTAATGAAAGTGGTGAGTTCTTTGTTTTATAATTTTGTTAGAGTTGTTATAAAATCAGTTAGGTTGTTATAAAGTTAGGGGAAGTTCAGAAATTTGTTATGACAGTTAGTTGTTATTTGAGTTAGTTATCAATTTTGAAATTTTCGTTAGGTTAGATAGTTGGGACCTTTAGAAATCGGTTATGGACAATTTGCCTTCTATTATTGATAGTTGGAGTCAGTTATGTATGGAAGTTAAGAGTTAGTAAATGATGTTAGTTTAGTTGGTTAGAGGACAGTTGAGAATTGAGAAGTTAGTTCTAAAATTTGTTACTAGTTATGTTTGCAGGTTAGTAAAAAAATTGGAAAAGTTGGAAATGGATAGAATGATGGAAACTGTTATGGACAGTTAGTATGGTTAGAAAATTAGGAAAAGTGAGAATTTTGTTGGGGAATCGGTTGTATGAGCTGGAAAATTGTTAGAAGTTTGTTTTTTCAATTTTTGTTTCTGTCTTTTTATGATATACTGACATTCAGCCGCTAACTCTTGATTCTCTACTATTTTCCATTGTTTTCCGATTTTTCTGGTATGAACAAAATGCAGGGCTAGACTACTAGATAATTAATGCAGGCTGAACTGGTAGCATTTTGCACTGATTTTGGTTTTATTAGGACCGGTGCAGGGCATGTTTGCAGGCTGCTAAACCATTTTTCTGATTGAATTTTTGGACCAGTTTTCTGCAATTTATAGTATAGTCTCGGGTTAATTGGTTGGCATCACACGGTTTGGAAAGACGATCATGCGTGCAAGGTTATAGCATAGTCTCGAGTTAATTGGTTAGCATGAGTTTAGAACACTAGGGTATGCTTAGCATAAGTTTTGGTGTAACTTAAACTAATTCCCGTGATGTAATGTCAAGAATGTTAGACTTGGATGTAGTATGACCTTAAAAACTTGCAAGCGCATTGTTGTAATGAAACTACCTTGAGCTTTATCATTGGAACTATAATGATGATATAAGATGAATGCTGATGATGAATTATAAACATAACCATACTAAACTTTTTGAAAACTCAAATGAAATCATGGATGTAACTCTTGAAATTTTGAAGGAAATTATGGATGAATTTTTATTTGGATGGAATTTGAATGTTTACCGTTTTTGACATACTATGATCCGCTAGACACTTTAATTAAAAGCTCCGTAAGACTCCCAAACACCCTCGAATGATCAAATAATGAACCAAACTTAGGCCTTGAATCGATTGGAACTTGGATCACTTAACCTTTGAATTCCCTCTAATGCATCATCACTTTCACAAACCCAGATTGCTCATGAACACCTCAAAACTTTAAATGATTTACCTCAAGTAAGGATGAAATTTACTAATGAACAAACTTCATAAGGCATCCTTCTCGCATACCATATGACTAGGGAAACAAATCTTACCCATGGGTGATGATAGTTGTGAAGAGATATCCTCTAATTCCTCTAAACTTATCACATATTGGCCTGAAGAATAGCTTTATAGAGCTTATCTGGAAGTCCTCCTGATTCAGGATATGAACCCTAATTCATGAACTTTGCATCTTCAGTTAAACAAACCTTACAAGAGAATGGAACCCTAATACCCTCAGAAGCCTCGATCTTGATGAACACGAAATTCTATTATAACCACAAATAAATAAAAACCCTAATTCATCACTTCACTGCTTCAAGAAAGAATCAGCCTTTATTGGATATATACACCTCAACGTTGTGGAAACCCTAGCGTACACACCCATTGAGATTTAAACCTCATGGTACTTTATGGAAATGTGAACGTATTCTATGAAGATGAATGCAAAAGCCTAATCTAGATAATAGAAATTAAGAGGGCAAATTTCGGGGTACAACAGTTGCCCATATTCAAGTTTTTTCAACCTGCAACGAGATTGGCAATGACAGCCTTTTGAGCGATAAGGTGGAAGGAGATTGAATACAAAAATGAACTCAAAAATTTTCACTCTGAATTGAGATGACGTATCAACACAGGGTATAATTGTGATGGCCTCTAGTGTAATGCGCGTTAATTTAAGTAATTATTTAATTAAATTATTTTTGGATTATTTGTTGAAAAGTTGTGAGATGTTGAGAATTTTTTGTATAAGTTGTTAGATTATTATTAATTAATTAATTAGTTGATTTATAATAATAATAATAATGTTGGATTTAATGGAATAATAGTGTTGGGCTTATTTTATTGGAAGTAGTAAAGTGGGTGTGTGTAAGTTAGGCCTAATAGGATTGATGATATCAGGTTAAGCTGACACAAGGATTTGATTTTTGGAGAATAAGGAGTTATGTGTGCTGACCGTGTGAATCCGCACGAAGAGAGGAGTAGCTTCCAGGTGTCGAGCTAAAGAGCACAGTATTGATGTCGAGCTGCACGAAGCTGTGGGTTATGTCGAGGAGCATAAGTAGTTGTTATTCTTCTTTGGGTTGGTGCGTGTCGAGGGGTATTGAGTTAGTTTTTATTTTGTCTTGTTGTTGTGCATGTCGAGGGGCATGTAGTTCTTCCTATCCCTTTTGCCCGTACATGTTGATTTTGTTGATACCAGTGCTTTACAAGTTATTCTGAGTTGAGAATATGCAGGTTGATGAATTATGTTGAGATGCCTCTAATTTGGAAGATATTATGTTGTAGGCTTATGGCCAAAATTGAATTATGTTGATGTTGAATTGTTGTTCATATTGTAGGCTTATGGCCAATGTTGATTTATGTTGAGTTGTTATTTGTTGTCTATTTTTGCTACATTCATGTTGTGTCGCATACATCGCATATCAAGTTGGAGTTGATGCTTGTTAAGTTGGCCTGGATTGGCAAAATATTAAGTTAAAGGCTTATGCCTTGTTGATGCCTCTATTTATTGGCAGATTTTTAAGTTGGGAATTCTGCTCCATTGGTACCACATGCATTTGCATAAAGACAAGTTGCATTCTGTGTTGCATCATGTGTCTTTGTGTGGTTGAGTTTATTATGCTTATGTTGTTATTAATTGTGAAGCGGTGATTTTTGCATGAACTGATTCTAATATAATGTTCATCCTACATCCGATTATATTGTTCGATATCTCACCCCTTCTGTTTGAATGTTACCCCGATGTTGGTAACATACAGGTAATTCAGAGTGAAGACGGTTTACCTTCAGTAGTTCGAGTCGGTGTCGTTTCTCTGATACGTAACACTTGGGGGGATGAACGCTTGCTATTTTGTTGTTGTTATAATTCAGCTGTTTCACTTTAAGCTTTTGTTCGTCAAATGATTATTTTTTAAATTTGTTTTAGTTGGATAAATATGTTATATTCATTAAGTTGAAAATTTGATTTTGCTACGTAGTTATGGAAGTTGTTGGTTTTAAAAGATTAATTTATGTTGTTATTGATTCATTCCAGTTTAACGTGTTATGTATATTTAATAAATGTCGTTGTTTTAAGTTGAATTTGTGGCATCCTGATTTAGTTGTGGAAGTTTCATAACTCTGATTTTATATATATTGTCTGGTAGAATTAGGGTATTACAAAGTTGGTATCAGAGCAAATCGGTCTGTCCGACCAAGTTGTTGAGTCATGTAGAGTAGTGTGACAGTTGAATATTATCGATGTGTTGTTTCTTAGTATGTGTGTGTGACACACTGTCGGTATTTGTTTGCTTTTCCAATCGATTTGTATGAAGGAGTTGGTTTGAAGATAATTGGGGGAGAAGCTTTACTTCTCGGATATGTTTTGGGTTTAAGATGTTGGTCCGGTATGGCGACATTGCAAGTATTGTTGAAGTTTTGTTGTTTCCCGAATCCAAAGGTGTCATGGATTCAAGATTTTGTTGTTAATCAAGTTGAAGCATCTTGAGGGAGGATGATCAGACAATGTTGATGTTTACTTCTCGAAGGATGAGGAGTAATGTAACGGTTGTTGATATACGAGTAGAGTGTACATCCCTGATGTTTCTGAAGGTGACTGTTAAGTAACAAAGATAATTTTTAGAAGATGGAGTTTAGAAAGTTGCAATGTTTCAACACTGTTGGTGGACTGTGAAGTTGTCGGTTTGGGTAGCCCTTGCATAATATATTGACGGTTGAACGATGAAAGAGTGATATATTGTTGTAGACCTTGTCGTGGGATCTCGTGAGTGATTGTAAAAGTTGTTGGAATGTTTTGAATCGCGAGTCAGAGTCGAAAATGTCAGAATATGAGTAGGATTTCAAGGATGGTAAGTGTTGGTACTGGTACAAAGAAATTTTTTTCTGATGTTATCATAAGGTGTATAATAGTATGTCGCTGCATGATGTCGGTGTTCTCATTTTCGGATAACTTCATAAATTCATATCTTGTGTTCTGAGTATCGGATTGGTGTTCTGTTTGAATCTATGAGGAGATAGAAATATATTCTATTATATTAAAGTGTTTTCAAATATGGTTGATGCATTCCCATGTGGAGGAACTCTGAAGTCGTTTACGGAACTAGAGGCTTTTGGGGCATAAATGTTTATTATTGCAGTTGTTTGAGACGAGGTCAAGCATAATATGTTGTTGAGA